TTTGACTACTATATACTCTTCGTATAACTAGCACTTAAGAGACATAAAAAACTATACCCAAAAAAAATGTCCGCCCAAATTTGCTCCCCCCCCCCCTTCATTCCCCCAGCAACCGACAGTACTAAATCGGTTCTTCTTTCGGAGGGACCCAGAAGAATTTGTTCCGTGGACTTTTCGACGTTCCAAATTAGAGGGACCGCGTATCTCCTGGTTGTATCTGTATCTCCGACGTTGGTGCGCCGCGTGCTACAGCGACTAGCGGTTTCAGACCACACAGGGACCCCGCCAGGGCTGCCAACAAATCATTATCGACGACGTGACACGGAACCTGTTCCCGCGATTTTTCCGTCGGTGGTACGTTCGGATGAATATGTAGTGTGCCGGGGAAACAAATGACTGAGATGGCTGGGGCCAAGGCACCTTCCTTGAATCGGTCGCGCTGAGGAAAAATTCGTGGAAGGTGGAAGATACGAGGGCCGTCAAAAAGATGATCCGCTTTTAATTCGGTGGCGACGGCGACGTAGGCATTGTTTTCTGGTTGGATGACAACTGGCAGCTAATTTTACAAAATGGGCGGCAGGTAGTTTATTGATTTTTACACTTCTAAATTTTTCAGGCACTAAAATGTAAAACATCGAACTAAATAACAGAAATAATGTTAAGGACAGTAAAACAAGTGTTTTAAATTTAAAAAAATGATAATAGCTTCTAGAGATTCTAATCATAAACATATTTCTGCAGGAAGTGTTGCACATGTACATTATTGTTTTTTTTTTTCGTTTTTTTTTATTTTTTGATTTTGTATATTGGCTTTAAAAGGTTGGATAATTGGTTGACCCAATCGCGTCCAATCCTAGCTTGCTTTATATTTTTCCAAGAGCGATTGAAGAAGTATTATATTCGTCATAGTAGGCGAGGTAGCTGATCTTGTAAACAGTTGCTACTCAACTATATCAATATTGACAGTTTTATTAAAAAAGGCGTCTAATAATATTTCAAACTGGTTGTAGAACTTGTAGATTACAAATGTATTTTCAAGGAAGGTGAAAAATTGATTGATATCCTTATAAAAGACTTGTCGTACAACATATCAAATACTGCTGCCTTGCCAAGTGTACATTTTTTAAGTAAATTTACGAACTTGTTTCTTCTTCAGCATTTGCAACTCAACTGTCAGTATTGACAGTTTTATTAAAGAATTATTGTTATAATGTCTCAGCAAATTTTAGATTTTCAGAATCTGTGGCATCAGTTATACTGATACGAAAAATATTTTTACTAATTATCTCGAAAATGGTGCAAATTATCGAGATTACGAGTTTAATATTGTCTATATATTCAGATAATTGCCGTCATTAATGCTGGATAAACCTAATCTCTTTGATTTAATTTTTTAGTGCAACTTTTTTACACTGAAAAAGAGCAATTTTTTATTTAGAGAGTCTGACACAACTGTATGTGCTTCTTCTTCAGTGTCTTTTATTTTTTCTCTATTCATTCTTCTTTGTCACCCAAAGAATTAAAAGTTTCTTATTTAGACACATATAACTACTTTTCAGCGTCGTTTCTTCTTTTATATCTTCTACTCCCCCCTTTAGACTAGTTCATTCCTCTTCTGTACCTATCCTTCATTTTTCTTTTATGATGTTCCTTCTTCTGCTTCTTTTTGTCTTCTGATTCATTCTGATTCCTTCAGGAACAGAAAATTTTTTTATTGGACTCATGTGGTTCTGTTACTTCTAAATCTTTTCTTCTTTTTCTTCCTCTACTATGTCTCTGTCAGCAGATTTGATCCTTTTCTTCGCCAGATAAAGAAAATTTCTCATTTGGAAATTTAACATACAGTTATGCTTCTTCTTTTTCTTCTTCTGCTCATCTGTTGCCTTCTAATTCACTCTTCTTTATGAAAAAATTTCTTATCTGAAGACTATAACGTACAATTCTGTTTATTCTTCGACATACTGCTTTCTTTTCTCCCTCTGTTTCTTCATTATTTTTTGACTCAGTTTTCTTTGAGAGAAAAATTATAATAAAGTCTTAACTTTTCCTAAAGAGCCTCTTAAAGGACAGAAAAAAAGTGATGATAAATATCTTTCCTATGTTTTTCCCTAGATCTGGGGAAGCGAGGAGACGGCAACCGCGCGCCGGCGGCCGGTAACCGCGACGACTGTTTTAGCGGCTCGGGAACGAGCGAATCTCGGCCGATATCTGCTAATTAAGGACAGCGACAAGCCGCACTAAAACACGTCCTGTTTCTGTCGCGCGGTGATATCGGTCCAACCAGTCTTTTTGATATTGCGCCGCAATTAGGGCCTTTATCTTCGCTCTTAAACGATAATAATGTTAATGCGCCCAGTCGGTGACATTTATACACGGGACGTACCGCGAAAAACGCTAATTGAACAGACAGAGACGGGAGCTCCGATCGTTCGCAGAAGAGACTCCTCGTCATCCACTAAAAATGTCTCGAGATAAGACACGGTCTATTAGAAGATAATTTATTTATTTATTTAATTGGAAATACACTGTTGTAAAGAATAAAAGAATGAAAAATATTAATAGAAAAATTAATTTTTCAATTATAACCACTTAAACATCGATGGTCTCATGTAATTATTCAAAATGTAGAGGCTCACCATTTTCACCCTCGTCATTATGCTATACCTGAACCACTCCGATCAAACCACCCCTGCGCCCAGCGGTAGCTACCAAATATTTGTTATGCTTTGAATATTGTACGTCCTTATACACTGTTAAATTCTACATATTTTCCTAACATCTGTCCCTATTTTTTAAGTCAGTCTAACAGAAACTAATGTTTAAATTATGATTTGAAATTACTAAGGCAGCAACTACATATAGCAATGTCAGTGGATTATTATACTTCGTACAATGAATCTAAATGTTCTAAGTGCTTCACTAGCAATAGTTTCGATATGCGAGGAAGAACTTAGTTTCGAATCGAAGATAGCATTGAAATCAGGGAACTTAGCTGGTCTTTTAAGTTTATATCATTTAAATTGTAATTAAAGAAGATAATTCGCGAGTAGTGTTACACTATATTGCATTGAGTAGAGATTTTCTCCTTATGTTGAGAAAAGTAAAAATAGTGAGACATAAATTGTACAAAACTGTTAATCTGTAACAAAATATATGAATCCAACGTTGTGTTATTTCATCTGGACTCTGTTTGTAGTTCTGGAAGATTACTGCAACAGTCAGCACATCTACGACACCAATCTATACACACAGGTCTACACCTGTCTAGCCAATAGAACCTTTTTCTAACTTTATTCAATGTCTTGTTTACACCAAACTATTCTCCACTCATTCCACCATAAATTTCTCTTAGCACTTTGTTGAGTTTATTCCTTGGAACTACGATCTGCTTTCATACTTCTTTGCCATCTGGACTTTCTCATTGTCTCTTCACTAACCCATTTTCTAGGATGAATGAATCCCAGATTGCCCAATAACCTTTTGACGTCGATGATTTGTCCCATGGTCCTTCCAACTAATAATCGGCTTCAGACTATTATAATTTTGTTGGTCTTCGCTAAGGTTTCTAGTTCACAATTGCTGTTCTTTGGGACAAGTTTTCAAATGCTTTATTCTCTACCCGAATACAATGTGAACATCTTTCGAGACATGGTTTTTTGGTTACTGTATTTGTTTTACCATGATGTCATGCTCTTCTATGTTCAATGATGAAGTCATACTCTTGTAAGAATTGTAACCAACTAGCTATCTGGCCTTGTGGGTTCTTAAAAAGGAATAACCATTTCAAGGAGGCGAGATCTGTTCTCAAGATGAAACATTGTCCACAAATGTATTTATGAAAATATGTCACGGTTTTAATAACAGCTAATAATTCCTTCCTGGACACAGAATAGTTCTCTGATTTTGACAATGCCTTGCTGAAGTATGCTGTTGCTCTTCTTCTCCATCCTAGATTAGTGATAAGGTACCTCCAATTCCAGTGATGCTACTAGTATCCGCATTGACTAACAATTCCTCATCATGTCATGGATAAGTTAATATCGGTGGTAAACACAGAGCTTCTTTAAGTTTTTCAAATGACAGTTGACATTTTGGAACCCAATCGTGAGGTTTAGTGAGTTCTATGAAACCTCGAACTGATGTTTGTCCTTTGGAATGCCAGATTCGTAAAGTTCCAACATTCCTTGGATCAGTGCGTTTTCAAAAAGCAAAAGTAGAACTAGAAACGTCAAAGAAAGAAATAGAACATCATAAAGCAAATAAGTATGAATAAAATACATTTTCGCAATAATATTATTTTTATTCGCCTCTGGTCTATCAAGATTAAAAAAAATATATGTAAAATCAGACGCGTGGTCAATGATACCTCTCGTCCAGCTTGTCAAAACCTTAACCATTCTATCACGGCAGATAATCCCGCATCATCATCGAAACAAACAGCAAATTATCCGGCGTGTAAAGACATCACCTTCAGTGTGGGATCGTGCCCGTTTCGTCTCGAGCGAGAGTTGTAATTTTCGCGGGTTCCCATCGTCGGTATTGACAGGTGTTCGTTAATTTTCCGCTCATTTGCATAATTACGCTCACCGCCGCTCGGTTGGACGTCTTGCCATATTTACTTTGCTCGAGATTGATGAGCGTCTGTTGGTTTTCCAGAATTTTATGCATCCGTAATGAGCGCCCCGTACATATGTACCTGCCCAAACGGTCAAAGTTGGTTCCAAACGGATATACACTGAGAAAAAGCGTTCGTTTGTATGTGTTAAGATTATAATTGCTTCAAATCGTGAAATCATTGCATTTGTTCGGGCCCAAGTGCTTGAAACAATGTAAAAACGATGTCATCTCAGTTTAACTTTTGATGACAATACACGGACTGAACAGAATAAGAAAAAAGTGTCTTTATCTCGATTTTGTTCTTTACGAACGTTTTTAACAGTTCGACAACAATTAATAAACAGTAATTTAATAATAAATTAATAATTTATTTGTTGTTCCAGACGATACTGAACTCTATGCACAAGTACCAACCAAGGTTTCACCTGGTAAGGGCGAACGATATCCTGAAACTTCCGTATTCGACCTTCAGGACCTACGTCTTCAAGGAGACCGAGTTCATAGCCGTTACTGCCTACCAAAATGAAAAAGTGAGTATGCACGTCAGTTATTACTTGATAAAAGCTATTTAAATACTCAGTTACATCTTTATCTTTATTAATGCTGAATGATCATACTTTCTTCGGTTTAATTTTTGAACACCACTACACCGAAATCGAGAAATTTCTGATTTGGAGAGTCTGAAATGCAGTTCTTCTTTTTCTTTTTTTTTTCTTTTTTTTATTCAGCCCCTTTTATTCCTAATTCACTATTTGTCTTCAATCAGAGAACGGGATGTTACTTTATTTGGAGAGTGAATGGCACAAATACTGCTGCTACTCTTTTCTTCCCCTGCTACATCTATTTCTTCTAACTCATTTTTCTTCATTAAGATAACGAACAATTTCTTATTTGGAGAATCTGATAATGTTTCTTCTGCTTCTTTATCTTCTAATTTACTCTCTTTCTTTTAGACAACGAGAAATTTATTATCTGGAGTCGGACATACAGTTTTGCGTCTTTTTCTGCAATTTTTCTTTATTTTCTTCCTCTGCTTCTTCTTTGTTTTGTGATTCTAGACAACTGGGAAAGTATGACATGTAATTCTGCTTCTTAATTTTTTTTTGTGTTTTATCCACAGCGTCTTATTTGTACTCTAATTAATTTTTCTTCTTTCGGACAACCACTTATTCTTTAGAGAGTGTAACATCTTTCTTATTTTTTGCACGTCTTTGTCTTCAGAGTCATTCTTCTTCCAAAGTCATTTCGAGTCTTTAAAATCTCACGTCAATTCTGCTTCTTCCGACCCTTTTCTGCTTCTATTATGTCTTCAGATTCAATATACTTCATTCAGAGAAAAAGAAACATCTTATTTGGATAGTCTTCCTTCGTCTTCTATTTCATTCTTCTCCATTCATCCAAAGAATTGAAAAATTCTTATTTTGAGAGTATAATATACAGTTGTATTCCGTCATATTTTTCTTTTTTTTTTCTCTACAGAGTTCTGCTTCTGCCTTTGTGTATTGTCCTTTCCCCTTTGTGATTCTTTCTCTCTGATTGTTTTATTTAGAGAGTACGATGTACAATTCTGCTTCTTCTCCATTTTTCTTTTTCTTCTGCCCCTTTTAGTTTCTAATATATTCTTCTTAATTCAGAGAATGAGAAGGTTCTTGTTTAGAGTCTATTCTACTTTATATTTTTCTCCTTCTGATCCTTTAACTTTTAGTTCAACCTTCTTCTGTTAGAGAACGAGAAGTTTCTTACTTGAAGAGTCTTACACACAGTTTCAGTTCTTCCACATCTTTTTCTTTCTTGCTTATTCTGCTTCTTCAGATTAATCCTTCTTTCAGAAAACTATAAGGTTCTTATTTGGACTCTGAAACATAATAGTACGTTTTCTGCATTTTATCTTGTTTTTTTTTTAATTTCTGGTGCATCCTTTTTGTCAGAAAGCGATAAAGTTCTGATTTGGGCTCTGAAACACAGTAGTATTTTTTCACAATTTTTTCCTCTTCTGTTCTTTCTTTCATCCCTAATAATTCATCTTCCTCCTTTCAGAGAACGAGAAGTTTCTTATCTGGAGAATCTGACACATAGTTCTACTTCTTCTGCTCTTTTCTTCTTTTCCTGATTCTACTCCTTTATTTTCTTTCAGAGAACGAGAAATTTCATAATTTTTATATTATTTCATATTATTATTATTATTATTATTATTATTATTATTATTATTTCTTCTTCTGCATTTTTTCTTTTGCTTTTTCTTCTTCTGCTTCTTCCTATCTTTCAGTAAAATATAAGGTTTTTATATGGATAGTGTGACACATTGTTCTGTACTTCTGTATTCTGCATCTTTCTTCTTCTTTCAGAGCACAAGAAATTGTTTATTTTTAGTTCTGCTCCATTGTGTTCTGATTCATTCTGCTTCTCTTTATTATTCTTCTCTTTATTCTTCGTATCTCGATCCTTCTTCTCTTTACCCTTCTTATCTTTACCCTTCTTATCTTTATCCTTCTTCTCTTTACCATCCTCTCTTTATCATTATCTTTATATGTCTTCTCTTTGTCATTCTTCTCTTCATTTTCTTCTCTTTATTATGTTTCTCTTTATTAATTTTCTCCTTATTCATCTTTTAAGAACTGCAAACGGCGCGTTCGAGAAATTGGCGGAGGCGCCCGTCACAGCCGGTCGTCCGCGGCCCGCCTCGATTAAAATGCAAGCGACGCTCTTCAGAGACACTTGCGCTCTGGGCGCGGCCTCGTAATAGTCGAAAGTAACAGCCACAGCCGCCTTTTCAATAATTTATCAGCAACTGCATACTGCGGCCCGATAATTACCTTTTTCTGTGCCGGCGAACGGCCACCATTACCCCGGTCGCAATTCCAAATGAAGATTAATTGTCAAGGCGCTGTCGTCGCGTCGCCGCCGCCTATATATACGATTCGCGATTGTTCCGAGCGGGGCATCCTTACTTATATCTTTATTAAATTTGATTTATCTCGCGTCTTACGCAAAACCGGTGGTGACACGGAGGATAATCGGTCGGTATTACTGTTATTGCCGCTATATAAGCGAAAACACGGCCATTAGATTCCAGTTGTGTTTATTAAACGTTGCGAAGAGGATTCCGAAACAGTAGTTATCCGGTACAAATTACTGTAATTTATTGCTTGTGTACGGACTGCATGGGAAGTTCTAAAAATCGGCTTGAAAGTTGATAATGTCTGCGATGTATGTATGTAATAAATTATCGAGTCGTACTTGTGAAACGTACAGGGTGAGAAAACCCGCTCTCCAAGCTTCAATTGTAACTTAAACACTTTTCAGCAGTCCGAGGAGTAAAGTAGTGATATTTTAATCTTCATTTTCAGGGATTAAAGTTATTTTTCCCGGTGAGACCTTGATTGCTTAAAAAAATACAAATATCGTAGTTTTGGTTGATATAATGCTACAGGTTGAAAATAGAAAATATAACGTTTTCAGTTACACGAATTTTCAATCGTACATTGAAGAAATGTAATACAGAGCTGGGTTAATTTCAAACATTTTTTCTTATATGAACATAGGTCCGATTCGTTTTGGTTTAGAAGTTACAAGTATTTTAAAAAATATTATTTCATATTTCATTCAAAGTATCCTGATAAATGATGGTAGCATTGGTAGCTATAACAATAATTACCATTTGTGTCATTTTGTTTATTCATCTGATAGCGTTAAAGTGCTAAATAAAAATGAATTAATTTACATCTGAAGAATATGCAGATATTGTCGTTGTATACGGGAATGCCAGACAAGCAGTCCGAGATTTAGACCAGGGCGGATCTGTTTTGAGGTGGATGTGAGAGATGGCAAGCAATTTTTTTCTGGATTACCTTCAGTACAACTCACATAATAAAAGTGTAGATCCCTAGATCTGGGCGAGGTCCGGAACATTTTCAAAATTGTAAAAATGTTTAAAAAATTTAAAAAAATACCTTATATAATCTGAGTTTTTTACTTACATCTTGGAACCTATGCATTTTGGAAGAATATTGAAGAGGAAAAAAGTTTTATAATTGAATTTTGCACAATATACTGTAAGTTAAAAATGTTTAAATTTATTACCGATGTTGCAAAATAACAATAATAATTGATGAAAAAAAAGGCAAAATAATCAAGTTTTTTGGATAATTTTTTAAAATATTTTAATTGCTCCGAGGGCACTCTAATTTTGGTAAAAAAAACTTTAGGGTATAATAAAACAACACACACCAGATTTCATTAAAATCGGTTCGATAGTTTTCGCAAAATAATTTGAAAAAATTTTTTCGAATTTTCAAAATATTGCACAGCTTCAAATAAGGCATCTAGATACTTGAACATTTTTTCACATAGAAAAGACTGCTCAACCTTTCCAATGGTTTGATAAGGACGACCACAGTAAATTTTTAAAGTTAATACTCCCTTTTTTATTTTTAAACAATAAGATTATCAATTTGCAATTTATTGTTTTCTTAATTTTATCTGTATTTAACAAAAAATTAATTTCCAAATATTTTTTTTAATTTGTTTAAACAAAAAATATTTAAATAATTGTAATAGTTAATGTTAATAACTAAATACATTCATATTGGGAGTGTTGAAATATATACGTAAACAAAGTTTTTCATTGAAAAAATGCAATAGCATAGGGTTAAATATACAGTATATTCAATTCATAAATAATAAACTTTGTTTATAACAAATACATATGTGCAAATTAGACAGTTGGCATTATGATATTCGAATTTTGCATTTTTGCAATTTTGAAAATGTTCCGGATGAAAACTCTTCGAGTTCTGCTGCTCGCCGATTTCAAAAACATGGTTTCGGGAAAAACGCGTTTGACGTAAATTTCGGAAATCATAATACCTAATATAGACCATGTGGATTTTCCAGCAGTGTATAATAATGTTCTTTTGCTTGTGATGACATCTATGGTTCACCTTTGAAGTATTTACTCGATGATCGGTAAGTTATAGACGTTTTTACATGCATGAAATACAAAAATGCTGTATCGACGATAGAAGCGTAATCTACTATTTTTACGCTTCGGAATTGGTTCGGAAAAATTAATTTTACGGATATTTCTGAGTCTTTTTCATGCAAAAAAAGTTTTTGATTCTGAATCTAGGAATGTTTTAGCGTATTTTAAGCCAATAAAAAAAATTGAAAAAAATATTTTTCCCCGTAAGGCTTAATATTGTTCAAAATAAGTGATGAGAAAAACAAGTAATTGCTTGGTTAAATGATTATTTCTCGAATAAATGGATAGGTCAACATGGTCCAATAGCATGACCAATGGGTTCCCCAGATCTAAATCCTTTGAACTTGTATTTATGGGGACATATGAAGCAGCTGTTGAAATCACTATCCGTCAGCAAGATGTAGCTAACCAGATAAGAAATGATCCAAATCTCATCCGGCGAGTGACGAAACCTTTTTAGTTCGCCAGCGGCATTCTAGCCGAGGGTGGACATTTTGAACAATTTTTATAGTCTTAAGATTTGATAATATGGTTAAACTTTAACACAAATAATAATAATTGTTATATAGCAACCATCGTTTTTATTTATCAAACTACTTCGAAATATGAAATTATATTTTTTTAAATTCTTGTAACTTCTAAATAAAAACGAATCTACCATCTGTCAAAGTTTGTCATAGAGCTTGTAGAACACCCTGTATAACTTATAAGAAACGCCAAGGGCATAGAATACGAATGTTACAAATTTAACAAAATAAAATTATTGTAGTTAAATTAAATACAAGGAAGAAACCCTAAAGTGACTTATTTAATTAATTGTACCTAGACGCGATTTTAACTAATTCCAAAGTGTGAAGATGTTCCAAATTGGAGTTACTGTAATATTGAAAAACCATAAAATAACATCAAATAAGGAACGTGAATTAGCGGCACATTTATTCTACCTTCTCTACGTCTGTTCTTCTTCTGCTTCTTTAATTTCTAATATTCCTCCTCTCGAAGAAGTTTCTTACATGGAAAGTTTTACACGCAGATTTCCTTCTTCCGCATTTATCTTCTGCTTCCTTCTTCTTCATCTTCTGATTCTTCCTTTTTTTCAGAAAATGATAGTTTTTCTTTAAATTGCAACCGTTCTTCTTCTGCTGTATGTGTCTCTTCTTTCACTATATTTCGACCTTCTTCTTTCAGAAAACATGAATCTGTTTATTTGCAGTTCTGCTTTTTCTACGTTTTTTGCTCTATTGTGTTCTGATTCATTCCTTGTAAAATTTAACTCATAATTAAAAATACCTTAAAATTAATAAAAACGTTCATATATTCGCATTCTTATTGTCAGCAATTAAGAAAAAATAAACTATATTAATCGACAATAGGCGTTTTCGAAAATTCACTTACACTGCTCAGATCACTATCTTCATCTTTGTCATTCTTATGGTTTTAGAGAGAGAGGACGTAATATCTAGATCACTACTAGTTAATTTTCGTAAACCCCTAATATAAGTGGGTCAGGCATTTTTGCTTTCTTCCACGAAGCCGCCGAGAAAAAACGTCGTCTTGTACAAATATATTTTGGATGCAACAACGGGAATTGTATCTAGTACACGTTTTTTGTGTTCCACGAAGGGAATGCTAAAAATGCGGCGCGATGGCCAGCGTTGGTGAAACCGGCCGCCCAGTTCGGTAGTATCCATTTATTTATTAATTGTTCCCAGAATTAGGCAGAGATTTGTCAAAGACAAAGAGGCCGCACGGTGGAGAGCATCTCGTGTGATAATTAGAGAACGTAAAAATGCAGGGGCGGACCGGCAGACATGCAGAAAGACGAATTTAAAGAAAAATGCAGCAAATACTATGCATGGCCCACAGGGTGTGGTTATTATGTGTAGTGCCCATTAACACATGTGGAAAAACAGAAACAGAGGTCAAATATTTTTTGTAAATATTTCCTAACAATGAGATATTATGTTAACAATTTTTTTTATTTAAAAGTCTATAAAGATAATTTCTAAATTTTTGTTTATATAAATTTCTCTGAATTCAGTCGAGAAAAAGGTTAATTTTGCAATTTTGTAGCTCCAAGGATGAGAAATAACGTATTCTTTGCTTACGAATAAACACTGCTATTACACATTGTTTGGCTTGTACACCTCTAAAATTGTTTATGATTAACTACACATCTCTGCATAAAAAAGTTCTATAGTATCCGAATCTAGTCAGAAATCCCGTGTTTTGACCCTAACATCAAGACACTCCTCTAGAAAGCGGTATTCGAAATTTCAAACCAACTTAAACTGTCATCAGTGATTGGAAACACGTTGGAATTCATGATCTCATATTGCACCATAATGCTACAGCCCTACGACCCCTTAACCCTATGACCACATAACCCTATGATCCCATAGCCACATGACCCCATAACCTTATGACCCCATAACCCTATAACCTCATAACCCTACAACCCCATAACTCTATAACCCCACAAATCTTTAACCTATTATTTGAAAGATTAAGCCAAAAACTAACGATCACTGATTGTACAGTCAAGTAACTACTACGACGGTTTTTCAGTATAAGTACAAAGAGAAATTCTCTGGTCGATTTGGTAACACAAATCTCATAAGACTCCCCCGGGGTTAAGAGATTATGGAGTTACAACAGGGCTCAGTTCCTCAGTGTTTCGTGGTTATCGTTGCACACCTAGGGTTATGGGGTTATGAACGCTTGCCAACTCACATACCACGTAGTTTCGGATCCCTGATGTATGAGATCTGTTTCCACAGAGTTATGTGGTTATATATACTCACACACCGCGGGTTATGGGGTTAAACAAGCCTGCTAGTTCACAGTGCGTGTGTTCCCACTGAGTTTCGTGGTTCTGCACTCTTGTCCATCCAGAGTTTTGAGGTTACGTGGCTATGAAGCTACGAGGTTATTGGGTTATGGGGTTATGATCGCCTTCCAAGTGACATGTCATGTCGTCGTATAGTTTTTAATCTCTTACTCATTAATTCTGGACGTTCGAAGAACCTTGTTCTTTAATTGCAGTATTTTATTAAAAAAACAAACCAAACATCATAAAATTTATTTTTTTCTTGACTCTATGAAAGTATGTTAATAAAACATCAACAAGTTTTCGGAAACATTACACCCAACATTATTGGTAACATTGACGAGAATTTTAAAAACGTATTAGATTATATGTTCATCAAAATGACAACATTTTATACAATTATGTTTTCCAAATAATTTTGTATATTTCATTTTAAATTTTTTTGCACAATCTTGTCATTATTTTTCTAATATCCAGGAAACTTCATTGTTAATAAAATTTTAATAATGCTCAAATATGGTTTTCAGAGCCCATTTAAGTTCTGAAAATTTCATTATTATATAATATCTACTTTTTAATATGAAAATAACAACTAAAAACATTATAATCTGCCAATATCTCATAAATTATAAAAAATAGAATAGATGTTAAATTTAAACCGTCAAAAAAAAATCAAAATAACCGTGATCGAAGAATTTAAACTTCTAAAGTCATAATGATTAGTTTTCTATTTAAAATGTGTTTAGTAAATAATGCAAAATACACATTTTTTATATTTATTTATATGATCGAACGAAAGATAAACCTGCATCATGTTATCATGTTTGAAAATGCCAAGTATCAAATATCGAAAAAAGTAGATGCCTTAAATTCAATGAAAAACACAAAAATGTAATAATATATAGGAACTGATACTCTCTATAAGATAAAAGATAATTTTTAAATGTAAAGAAATTGATTTGGCGCCAATTATTTTATGTTCTCGATATCAGTGTAATTTTTAGCAAGAACTCTATTTCCCAGAAAATACTAGCCGTCAATTTTCCGTTTTTGTTATACCTTCAAATTTTCACAATGCGGGCCAGCCCGGCCCTGTCGCAGACCAAAGCCACGCATTCCGAGAACGGCGACATTCCCAACCGGCAACAGAACCGCTTTTTTGTCGCTTCCTGTAATTTCAGCGCTTTCAGAGCTGGACAATATTATAAATTATGTAAATAATTCCGTCTCTGCTCGACAAATCTTTATAGATCCGTTCGTAATTATTTTTCTATACGGGACAACGTACTGACGAGTGAGTTATTCGAATTTCATCGAATTATTTTCTTGTTCCAGATCACCCAGCTGAAAATCGACAATAACCCGTTCGCCAAGGGCTTCAGGGACACAGGGGCGGGGAAGAGGGAGAAAAAGTAAGTATCAAATTCGATTTGGATGCAGATGGTAGCATTACACATGATGATTTTGAAATTGATTATATAATTTTATATCATGTATAATCTACTCATTGAGATAGACAATTTTTTTATATAACTTTTTTGTATGTTGACGCTTTTTTGCCCGTCAGTTGTTAAATCGTCTTGTTAAGGTGTCATGAAATTAGGCTTTAAAATTATTGTAAAAACTGTAATAGAAAATTGAGAGCGTGGAACGTTAAGAAACCAAATGCACTAAATTAAAACACATAAAGTTTAAACTAATGCAAAACCACTTGCACATGCATTTAATAAACTAAAATAATGCCACACAAATTGATACAAAATTTTATTTCATATAAAAATTTAAATAAACAGTTTGACGGATATTGACAAAAACACAAAAAAGTTTGTTACTTTGTATAAAAAAGGATATTGATTTGAGCTTTGTCATTAAAACCCTCAGAAAAGTACGCCACTGAATTTCCAGAAAAATTAATAGGCGTGTGTGAAAATGTCCAACGACTGTCGTACATTTTCAAAAATTGCTGGCGTTTGTCTGACTTGCTGACATCCATTTATGATTCGTTGTCTTAAATCTGCTTCTTTTTCTACTAGCGTTTCATTTTTTTAACCATGAAATACCTATTACAAATTATTTTAAAATTAAATATGAAAAAAAAAATTATAACACGAAAATGGTTTATTGTGTGAAGAAAATGCAAGAGACCTTTTTCTGAAAATCCATTGGCGTAGTTTTTCTGAGGCTTTTAATAACAAAATTCCCCTGAACCTCCGCCACTGGTTGACAGATTTATATAGAAATACACCGAATTATTGTCTTTAATTAGTTACATCATTTCGTCAATCTACGTCAAACAACTTCAGGGATAATTGGAATCCAGTAACATTAGGACTCTGGTTTATTAAGGCTTTTGGGCCTAAAATGACCCAACGAATCACCCTCTTAATTTATGACATAGACTTAGGATATACCCTGTATATTAGTAAGTTCCAAGTTATGCTGAAGCTGCATACAATCGGATTCAGAATTAATACAAAGATAGAGCTTTATGTCATCAGCATACATCAAAAAGTGAGCATTAAGATCTTGGGCAATGTCGTTAATAAAGAGAGTGAAAAGCAATGGGTCAAGTATCCAACCTTGCAGTACACCCGACGTTTGATTAAATAACTCAAGATTTGTTACCAGAGCATTGTACAAATTGAATACGATGGGAAATTTTGCACAGCTGTTTACCATGATCAAGTCTGTCAAATGATTTGGAGAAGTGTTGTTCAGATGATGTCGCCTGATGCCTCACATCTATCAGAAATATGTACAATATAATTCGAGGAGTCGCTTATATATTGACGAAGGAGGTGACAATACCGAACACGTACTGTGATTTGCTAATGTGAGAATATGACGTGTCGTTCCCTCGCAACTTCAGCAGTTCTCAATCAATTCTGATTTTTTTATTAAATAATTTATTTGTTCCTTTTTATACTTTTTTTGCAATATAGTTTTAACGTAACAAACATTGATTAAATCAACAACAGAATTAACAAGCTCGTACTTGTTTAGAATCAATCTCGTTATTTTCCGTTAATTTCGAGATCCAAAATCTACAAGAGAGACCAAAATAGGCTCCGGATAAATTTTTTAAAGGTCCCTGGGCACCTATCCCGTCGAATTAATTACTTGCCAATTCCCTAGCGCCCGTCGGAGTCGTAAGTTCGCAGCTTTATGACTCATTGCCACGCCACCGTACGCCGGCGATACTTAAAAAGGTCACCGTCTATAATTATCGCCGTGGTCGGTCAATTAAACCCCCGTTATGATCCGGACCTCGCACCCTCGCGCGAGGCCCCTGGGGGCGAACGGGGGCACCCCCGTATCAGTTTCGGGCCGCTATGTGCAGCAGAACGACTGCAGTTGACTGCGTTCGGTGATAGACTTAATTTTATTGATTTTTTAGCTGTGTTGCGCTCCGTGTGCTAATTAAGTATTTAGTTCAAGAACCAAAGTCATTTTAAGCTGTCGAGAAATAAAATATTAATTTTTACCAACGTAGGTATATATTTACTTTGCAATTAACACAGTTTTCAATAAAAATTCGAGCAACATCTCGTTCTAGTAGAAATATTTATATCAGTCAATGGTATTGTTAAAATTCCTTCCTTACCTGGCTCTGCGCAAAATTTGATTGATTCTTCTTCTTAAGATTCGGCTACCGTCGATGACTTCCAGCCATCATAGGCATCCGCAAGCATGGGTGTAGTCTCTTTATTGCACTATGTAAAAACAAATCTTTATTGCACAGTGTCAGAAGTCTCTTTACTGCACTGTGTAAATAGTATCTCTATTTCACGATGTACAGAGTCTCTTCATTACACTGTATGGGAGTCTCTTTATTGCACTGTGCAAAGGAGTCTCTTTATTGTCCGTTGTAAAGAGTCTCTTCACTGCACTGTGTAAATAGTATCTCTATTTCACGATGTACAGAGTCTCTTCATTACACTGTATGGGAGTCTCTTTATTGCACTGTGCAAAGGAGTCTCTTTATTGTCCGTTGTAAAGAGTCTCTTCACTGCACTGTGTAAATAGTATCTTTATCGCACTGTGTAAGAAATCTCTTTATTATCCTGTGTAAAGAGCCTCTTCATTGCATTGTGTAAGAAGTCACTTTATTGTACTGTGTGAAGGTCTCTTTATTGCACTGCGTAAAAAGGCTTTATTGCACTCATGCCACTTTTAAAAACACTATTTCGCTAGTTTTTTAACAAAGCATCTCGTTCACATTTTAAACTAGCATATACGTAGATCACGCAACTAAAATACTCGTAATCCCTTAAATCATTTTATTTTTTTTCTTTTATCTCTATTTTGGCTTTACGTAAAAAGATTAATGAACCTAAATATTTTAAGATATTGATAAATAAACTGATTGTTTTTGCTATTAACTGGTATCAGAATACCTTGAACACTGCATGTGTTCTCTACATCCCCTTTCTCTATCAGAGTAGTTAATAAAACCAACAATGATGTGTATCGCAATCAATAGTAGAGCTTACTCTGTCTGTGGGGTGGATTAGTCTGATACATCTTGATCTAAAGCTAAATCCCATCCTCGTTTCCTCATTTGACAAAGCGAAATCGCTAAGGATAACTCAATTCCACACTGGTTTGTGTTTATACCCTCAATACATGTTTTTTTTCTGGTTAATAACGTAAAAACAGAAGTACCGCTTTACTAGAACCTGTCAGTTTGATAGATTTTTCAATGTAAACCAAAATTGTTGAAATATTTCTCAATTCAACTCACCCCATAAAGAATTATTAGGGTTTGGAGATAGATTGAATTTGTTTTTTTTAACATGGTCACGCGATCTACTCTATTTGTGCTCGTCACCCTGTCTAATGAGGGTTGATCCTTTTTTGCATATTCCAAGCTCGAATTTAACCTCGACCCCTCCCACTGACGTTGCGTTTATCTTAACAATTTTCTAATTTAAAGCTCGGTTGGTTTAGTGGTGACATCACAGCTATAGTCCAGTTAATCGGGTAAAAAACCAAACCATTATCACTTACAAGCCTCACATCTTAAGTGCCATCAGTAAGTGACGTCACGACTAGAAGTTTAGAATCGTAAATGATAGAAGGCGATACGCCCATTGCTGTTAGCTTAAATTCATAATTTTGGTCACTAATTCATGATTAATTATAAAAAGCCATTTTTAAATAATTTGAATAAAAAAATTACTTAATTATACTTAATTAATGTTTTGGGTTTCCTAAGAGATGAATCAATAATTAATAGTGGCACATAATTTTACATATTTACACACCGTGTCCACCTAGTGTGCGTAAGTCCAATATCTAGGTTAATAAAAGATATCTTAATTTTTCTTCTACATAGTTGCCTATTTTTCCCAGCTGCACAAAATGAAAATATATTTGCATATACAGGGTGTTCAGTTTTTCCTGGGCAGGTACCAACTTCATTTTTTTAAATGGAAACCTATATTTTTTATGGCATTATCGAATTCTACGTGAAAAATTAACGGGACTTTGTGTTATGATCCCTATTAAAATATTGATAGTTTTCGAGATAATCGACTTTTCATTTTTTTTTTTTTTTATGTTTCGTAACTTCTAGTAGTTGACATAATTATGATTGTATGACAGCTAGAAATTATTTTTTTTCAGGAACTGTAGAGTGAAGATGGCTCTTTCAAAAAACGTATCAAAAGTTGACCTGCGATATACAGGGGGCAAAAAAAATCGTGCCAAACCTGATAATTTAAAATTTGAAAAATCTCGACTTTTTCAAATAGAACACCCTGTGTTTTATGATTTCATTAGATGCCTTTCTGTAGACCCTACAATTTTTTAATAGCTTTCCCTATACCTAAGTTGCGTAGTTTTTGCAAAAAAACCATTTTTATGTAAAATAACGGATTTGCGCCCGTTCCTTTGTGGGAAAAAATATTGTAAGGGTATTTATTTTTATTAAATTTATTAGTTGTCTAGCTACACTATTTAAAATGAAAATTAATAACTGAAAAATTTAGATATTTGAGTTTAATAAATAAGTCTTTATGGAAAGTTACCATTTATTTGTAAATAAAATCAAAAAACCATAAAATCGCTACAAGTGATTAAGGATTAGCAAAATATGGGAAATGTTTGCTAGCAACACGTATTTACAAAGGAAATAATCCAAATTTACAGAGATTTGCACTGTTTTGAAAATGTGAAGGAAAGGTTTGAATGAACAGCAAATGCGAATTATGAGAAAACTACCAGAAGACATGAAAGTAACAACGATAATATTTAATTTAAAGTTGTGGCGTCTGCTGTTGAAAATCCAAATATTAGTGCCAGGAAATTAGTAGTAACCTTGGAGTTTTCAAAAGCTTGACAAATAAAATATCGAAGAAGTTTCATCCGTATCATATTGAAAATCAAGCACTGTTACCGTAGTTAGGAAAGTTATTAGTGAAATTGGTGATTAAAAAATTTGGATGAATAGAAAAAAGAATAGTCATAGTCGCAAGCTAACTTAAAATAAATGTTCAAACTGTCCACCGTTGTTTTCTACACAAAGCAATAATCTATGATGAAAATGAATGTGGACATTTCTTAACATTTGAGGCGTTATAGTTAGAAACGCGTTTTGAATCTTTTCTTTTAAGTCTTGAATATCCGTTGGTGATACTTCGTATACTCGCTCCTTGATATAATCCCACAAGAAAAAGTCCAGACTATTTAAGTCAGGCGAACGTGCGGGCCAAGGAACTGGACCACCACGACCTAACTACTGGTTTGGATATACGTGATTTAGGTGTTCTCTAAACTGAAAGATAAATAGGTAATAGGAAAAGTATAATAACAATAAAATAATCACATTACAGCCAAAAACTACGCAACTTAGGTATAGGGAAAGCTATTAAAAATTGTAGGGACTGCAGAAAGGTATCTAATGAAATCATAAAACACAGGGTGTTCTATTTGGAAAAGCTCAGATTTTTCAAATTTTAAATTATCACGTTTGGCACGATTTTTTTTGCCCCCTGTATACCGCAGGTCAACTTTTGATACGTTTTTTTTTCGTTAATGAAACACTTTTTCCAGTGTCTTAGCCTTTGAAATGTTTCAGTGTTGCTACTTATCCATCTACCACGAGTAAAAAGAAATGATTTAACTAAATTGAATTTTTTCCTCGCAACAAAATGTCTACTTCTACGAAAGACTTTTTCCGGTGTAAGCTTTATCTTTTAGTCATTCGGATGCTGGCAAAAAAGCGCGAATTCGCTTAAGCGGTTATTTATACATTTAAACGGCGTAATAAAGGGCTGCGTCTCTTCCTCTCCCCTCACCCCCTCCCCCATCCATTCGCCGCCGCCCGCGTAAGCCAATTTGCGGCGCTGGAAATTAAACTGCGACCCAGCCAAACACTGAGGCATTCCGCCCCGCCGGAATGTATGCATATCACTTACTGTAAATGCAAATGCGACCGCCCCCCGGCTCACCCTCCCTGACCTTATATAAATGCCACAGCTAATTTGATACTGTTAAGCCGTATTGTCGCCCCAGCGCGCCGCAGTCTTTATTTTGCGGCAGCTTTTAATTTGGACCGAGATACCGCCCGTCCGGGCCCTGATGACAGACCGACGTCGACCCGGAGTAGTCCGGTGGATGGGGTGCAAATTCAAATGCAAATAAATGCAGTAAAAAAAAACGATAAAAAAGGGGCATTCTGCTTTTATGAAACCAATAAACACTTTGTGTATAGACATTTTTAATGTAAACAATTCTGTCTATATTTCCGAAGCTTACAAAGTGAAATCTAGTTGATATCAAAATCTTAGTTGGAAATCTTATTAGAATTGAAACATTAGAATATTGGTTTTACTGAAATCTAATTGGACTCTTATTAGAATCTAGTTGAAAGTGTAATTGGACTAAAATATCTTATTGGAATTTATCTTATTACCTACTAGAAATATTTTTATTATTTTATTCCTGTTCGATGCTAGTATTAATCAAACAAAAATTTTTTTCAAATCTCCTGGAATGTAGTTAAACTAGAAAAGTAGAACCTTACTACCTAAATGAAATAGTATTAGAATCTAGTTAAATTTTTATTGAACTGCAGCAAACTGAAATGTAGTTAGATTCTTATTAGAATCTAGCTTGCACCTAATAAGGTGTAAGAGTACTTAGTTGAAATTTAAATCTAGTCTGGTCTTTTATTGAACCACTGTAGTATTAATCAAATTAAAATAAAATCGAACTGTTATTGGAATCTACTTAGATTCTTATTAGAATCTAGCTCTCATTTTATTATCTAGGTGAAATTTCATTTGAATCTAGCTGATATTTTTATTGAAGTCCTGTACCACTGTATTATTAAACACGCCTAGTTAGATTCTTATTAGAATCTAGCTCTCATTTTATTATCTAGGTGAAATTTCATTTGAATCTAGCTGATATTTTTATTGAAGTCCTGTACCACTGTATTATTAAACACGCCTAGTTAGATTCTTATTAGAATCTAGCTCGCATAGTGTATAGTTGAAATATTTTATTTGAATCTAACTGGTATATTTATTGAGGTTCTATACGATTCTAGTACATACTAAACAAACTCTAAAATCTAGAAAATCTTACTGGAATATAGTTAGCCTCTTATTTGAATCTAGCTGACATTTTTATTGAAATCTTTCACGTACTAGTCAAAGTAAAATCTTGTTTAAATCTTACTGATACTTAGTTGGACTCTCACTGGAGTATAACTGGCATCTTTTACTAAATTTTACTAGAATGTAGCTTCTATTAGAATTTAGCTGACATCTTATTGCCTACCTACTTATAATTTTAATGGGATTAGTAAAATTTTTATTCTTATCAAACAAAAATCTAGTTGAATTTTTACTAGAATCTAGTTAGACTCATATTAGAATCTAGTTGACATCTTATTGCCTAGTTGAAGCTCTAGTACTGACCAAACTAAAATCTAGCCGGAGGCTTATTGAAACCTACTTGGACTCTTATTACAATTTATTTGCCATCTTATTTAGAATTTGGTAGAAATATAATTCCGTTCTAGTTGGAATCTAATGAGAATGTAATAGTAGTCCAAACAAATACAATATTGGTGGGGTAACAATATTGGTGGGGTAACAGTTACATATGACTGTAGATACATTTCCCTGTAAAAGCAACACATTTTATAATTTTATTCTCTCTATTGTTACAGGCAGGCGATGCTAGCCCAGAGGCACACAGACGACAAGACCTCCCACCCCTTGCCGGCGCGCATGTCAGCGGATAGCAGCACCGTTTCGAAAACCGATGACTCGGAGTTAGATGTGGTCGGTACGGCGGACAGCCCAAGGCCGTCTCTTCACAGCTCCGCTCCCGTAGCGTCATCTGTGAACCATTCGGGTAAGTAACTGCTTTCTTGATCGTCGTGCTTTGTTGTTTAACTTATCTTTTCCTTGCAGCTACTGAAGACGACTCCATCCGGCGCCGCCTCCACGACGACTCAGGCTCGGAAAGCAGCTGCTCGGAGTCTCCGGGCAGTACGGCGTTTCGACCCCGACCATCTTCACCCAAAGACTCCACGGCCGGTCCCTCGAACCCCTCCGAGTACCCGTCGCCCAACATAAGCGTTGGACCCCCCATACACCCGCCCCCTCATTTATTGCCTTACCTGTACCCCCCGGGCATGTACCCGGGCGCGGGAGGTCACTCCCCCTTCGGCCCCCCTCTCAGTCTGTTCACTGGCGCCCACGCTCCTGGGATGAATCACAGTTTGCTGTTCAACGCTCAGTTGGCGTTGGCGGCGCAACATCCCGCTTTGTTCTCTCATTACCAGAACTTGGCGCACCCCAACCCCCACAGTCACCACCTCTCTCCCACCTCCCCCATACACAACCACCTAAAAGGGGGACATAGGTTTACCCCTTACACTTTACCCAACTCTAATTCGGGGGTTAGTTCCTCGCCTTTGGGTAGCGCTTTCGAGACGGTTACTCCTAGCTCCCACACAAGGAGTCTAAGTAACTCGCCATCTGGTAAAATAAGGGGCGGTTCGCTCTCCCCACCCCTCAGACCCAACACCACGTCACCTAAGCCAGAGGCGGCCAACTCCCCCAGCGACTTGAAGAGCATAGAGAAGATGGTGAACGGTTTGGACGTAAAACAGACTGAGGAGATGAGTGATAAATAGTAAAAGTAGTGAGGATGTAGTCGTCTCGACCGTACTCTGGATTTATATTGTTTAGATGCGTTCCCAAGTGTGATAGGGCGTTTGTGATGGCGGCGTAACATAGCGGACCTGTGATAGAACCTTGTGGTAGTCGATTTTCAACGCCGCCTCCGGACGCGCCTTACGCTTGAGAAGTGAAATACTGGGCGCCCGCAAAACTTGTACCGCGTTTCTGTCACTGCAACGACTCAAGTTTGTTTTTTTTTAATAAAAAAGTTAATTTTATGGAAAAATAACAGAGACATAGTATTAATTTGTCCATAGCCATAAAAATAACTACGAATAATACGTTTTTTTGTTATATCTCTAAATCAGGAGTGGGATAATTTTGTTATATGCAGATACGGGAAAAATATGATTCTGACTCGTTTTGTCGATAGTTCCGAATTCTGGTTGTGCGGGCGCCAAAATATACGGGGTGTTTTTGCAATAAATATATCGAGCTCACGAGAATCTCCAGGTCACTTTGATTTGACAGTACGTATAGGTTAATTCCGTACTCTTTGAAGGATTTGATTCGTACCCAACGGCCTCGAAGTGCTTTTTCCCAAGCTTACTGCTATAAAAGTACAAAATAAGTGTATTTGTAAAAAAAATTATATACCTACGGCAATGTTTAGTTTATTTTCCATTGGTGCTGATACTGTCACTATTGACACATACCTAAGGGTATAAAATCGCGTGAAGTTTTATAACGGTAGGTCTCCATTACAGTGAGTGTAGAAGGTACTGTTGAAACCTTGTAAGAAATATTCTAGTATGTTCCTTTTTTTCACTATTTAAATGATGTATATAATGTATGTAAGTAACTGATGATGTACATAGTTGTTTTCTTTTGTGTAAATTGTATATTACTATATTATAACTGTATATTAGACCAGAAATATTTGTTTGCTGACCCGGGATCCTAGCAATATTCACAGCTAACTGCGCTTGAATATTTCCAGTGATTCATTAGATGCAACTCCAAGTCACTCTGTAGGTCACCGTTTTTTTTTGGTAAAATGCAGTCCCTATGCAATTTTTATATACTTTGTACATAGTCCTCTCCTTTCTCTCGATAACATGTAAAATATGCTTTTTGTTATGTTCTAAGAGTACCAGGCGTAAACGTCGGATGAAAACTATAGCTTATTTATTACAATTTTCGTTAGCTGATACTTTTATGGCTGGTACTACCTGAAGTAATGACGTAGCAATCGTGAACTTGTCTTGTGTATATGTCAATTAATTTAAGAATTAAAATGATATTCATACAAATACAGAACTTGTATTATTTTTGAAAGCCTGTCCACTTCCTAGGAAGAATCCCGCAACGTTATTTTGAACCAAAATCAACAAAAAAAAAAGTATATTAACATACATAGAAGATAACTAGATGTATGTATGATATAACCTTATTTACAGAATTTTTTTAATTAATTTTTTATGTTGAGTGGAGAAAAAATGTTGACTGCCACTACTTTAAAACACATCCATTATTTTAAGATAGTTTTTATCACGAAATACTCATAAAATAAACTAATTTTACTGAACTTCAGCGTATCCAATATCAATTTATCATCCTGTATTCCAGTAAAAAAGAACGTACTAAGATATTAAACTAATTCTAACAAATTCAAAAATGTTTTCTAAAAAATCTAATCGGATGAATTCGAACGATGTTCTTCGATACCATAAATCTAGGTACGTAAAAAACCCCACAGACAAAATTCCTAACTGCTAATCTACAACAATACCTAGCAAAAAGCTAGTTGGTATGTCTTAATATAAAAAATAAGCACCTGATATCGGGTGCCCTGAAACAGGGCCGCGCCAAGTGTAGCTTTTGCTGCCACCCTGGCAGCATTCTAGGATCTAAGTTAATCACCAAATAATGGAGCAATAAAATAAATATGGAAATATACATCAATAATAATAAAAATAAATGTATTTTACTTCAATAATTAACAAAAAACAATGTTAAAAAATAAAAAGGAGCTAAGAACAGGAACTGAAATAGTCTTCATAAGTAACAAAAAACTAAATACATTTATAAGAAAAAAGATAGGTATAAAAATAACAAGAACGCATAAAATTATGCTCAGATGTTAGTATTACTGACTTTTCATTTAAATAAAATCTTAAGTCATTATTCAAAAAATAATTTTCCGGTCATTCTTCTTGTAAAGTCCTCAACCAAATCAGACATACCTAGGTTTTTTGAAATTGCCATAATAGTAAATTGTGCTCACTATCGCGACATGATAATCCACTTTTTAATGCCTAAATTGCAAGATATGGATGTAAACGACGTACGTTTTCCACAAGACGGTGCCATATGCCTTACAGCCCAGGAAACAATTCAATTACTGCATGAGCCAGAATTGGCCAATCATGCGATTTGGACTTTTTCTTTGAAATCTAAGGTATATGCCAAGAAGCCCACGGCTTGAAGGAGATTGAATGCTGAATCAAGGAAATTTAGCCTCATTTGTGAAAAACAGTCATGGAAAATTTCGACAAAACATTGCGTATGTGTCAGCAAAGTAATTTACCCGATATTCTAATACTGGATAGATATAATTACCTTTTTTGTTTTAACTAAGAGTTTGCCTTTTTTACCAAATTTCTTTAAAAAACATTATTATTATATTCTAATATTAACTCTCATATTTTTTACTTTATCTAAGAAAAAAATTAATATATCTGGATTAGCTTAATACCATTAGTAATAGAGTAAAAAATACCTACTAGCATTAATATTAAAATACCTTTTTTTAAAGAAATTTAATGAAACGGACAAATATTTTTAGGTAAAACTAGCAATTCTCATTGATCTTGTCACGTTCAACGCTTCTTATATTGTCGTTTCAAAATGTAAATTTTTTTATCAATATTTTTTAATTCCATACGGAACGAGCCTACCTGATGAAGTAATCCTATGTAAAATGTGAAAACAAAAGGACCTCTTTGTAATAATTATTATAATTAGTCTATTTCAAGAGTGATGACAAAACAGCAAGAATACAAGATATTTCTTAGAATTATTATATTATTTAGCCTTATTTGTTTATAAGGCCATAACTATTCAACTTACCGATTCCAGATATCGGGTGAGTTATTACACAGTGATAAGGAATGAGAGGATGCGATGCCGAAACGTTCCGGTAATAATAACGCAGTTTATTAATGTTTAATTTAAAAGTCATAAATAAATTCCTTCTGTTTATAACTTTTGATCTAATCAATATTTTTTGACGCTCGAGGGCTAGTTTTATAGGTCTTTTGAAGACGAAAAAAACAGTACTTAACTGTTTTATCGTGGAAATGAACGGGAAAAAGTTATAAGCGAAAAACGTGAATTTTCGTAAAAATTATACAATTAACCAGCCTGTGAACAGTCTTCCCCCCATTTTTATGACTGTGGAAATTAATATGTTATTGTACATAATATTTAGCATTTATAGTGATAAATTCAGTTTGCCAAAACAAAAAGTCGCGTCCAACTCTATATTTCCTGGCCTAGTCAGTAACACTCTCGTGAACTGCTTCGATGTTTTGTCTTGAACGACTTGTTCAGGAGGACCAGAGTGTTTAAGATCACTAATTGATCCAGTCTCTCTGAATTTTTCAATTAATCTCTTCACTGTAAAGTTAAATCATTATTCCAATCATATTTTGTACGAAAATTGCGAACTGTAGCTGCCAAACTTTCATTGTTTTTAAAATATTGTTCAACAATGAATACGCGTTATTCTTTTGTGTAGCGCTCCATTTTTAACAACCCTGAATTATCAGCTGTCACGCAGTCTTTTTTTTTGCGTTGGAAACAATTGACTCGACAAATCTTGCCTGATTTTGGGACACTCAATAGGTATTTAGACGCATAATTTTTAGTTTTTATTTTAATTTCATTTGAAAAAATTTTCTTGGAAAAATTCTTAAATTGTTTTGATTTAATTGACTACCTTTAAAATTGTGTAAAAAATACTAGCTAATATTGAAATATTTGTTTTTTTTTAATACTGAAGTAATGTTTTTCAGCTCCAGACGAGTCTCTTTGATTATATAAATCCGCAAAGCGGCAGAATGACTTCTTTACTTATCACTTCCTGCTCCGCCGTATCCCTACAAACAGTTTTCATCTGGTTAATTAAACATTACAATTAGATCCAGCCGGCATTTCCCAGATAACAACCGATAAATACCGGCCGACAATGGCACAATGTATCACAGAACAAATGCGTAATTGCGTTAAGCGGCCTTTATTGTATATCGATGTCTCCCGACAAAACGCTTTATAATTTATCGTATTAGACCGCTGTTAGATGCGAGTTATAACAGCGTTCTGGCCTTGCATTGTTGGCGAAGATTTATGGAACTGCGCGTACGTGTTAAACTTTGCTAAGTACAACCTTCGCGCTAATGATATTCCGACTAATGTGGGGAATCGTCACCGTTCACTGTTTTTTTACGCCATTTATGCGGTTACTGTAATCGCAGCTCCGCCGCGGCGAGAGAATGAACGGTCAACGAGTCGTCCAGACCTGAGCCCTATAGCTTTTTGCGAAATTTCGCCCAATTTCTCTGCCCCCTTTAAAATTTTTTAACGTACGCCAGTTGTAACACCGCGATTATTATTATCGCTTCAATTTTCAACTATAATATTGAAACAGCTGTTACTAAAATTACCAAACGCTGTGTCATTTGATGACTGGCATCGGTAACAATAGGCTTGGCCGATTTTAATACCTTCCTCTGTCATAATTTACGTCTATCATTGCCTGTGATTTACAAGTTAATCGTCTAATTTAAAAAATTACAGACAATAAAAACACGAAACATACAAACGTATCCATATTCGTCACTGACTATTTTTTTAACGTGGCGTATCATATTTTATGGTCGTTTTAATGGTCCGTTTTATTTCGGACTACGTATCGGATTTCGGTGGTTATTTTAATTGCGACGATAAGATAAATATAAAATTTCACGATTCCTCAAAACGCAGCTAATAAATTAGAGGAGGATTTCGGTTAATCCCTCTGGGTCCGTATAACTTAGGATTCTGGATGTTGCACAGCGATAAGATAAGTCAGATCGAACATATAATTCGTCATAAAACCCACAGCGGAAAATATCTGGTTATAGTTTGTTTCAAAATATCAAGAACGAATTTTTACTGTTTCGATTTTTCCCAAGATAAATATAGAGAGGAGCATTTTAGTTTTTAGGTATACATACATACTAGTACTATTTGCTCTTTATCTCCTGAAACAATGAAAATTGATTAATAATTGTTGCTGTGACTGAAATATCAAATTAGGATTTACTAGTGGGATTTAAGTCGATGGAGAGCATAAACTAAAACTATTTAAAAATTAACACTATAGTCTTCCAAGTGAAAACTAGAATAATTCACGAAATGGTGTTTTGCAGACTGCCAGTTTCAGTCAACACAATGAAAAAAAAGTGTATGTTTCGAAACAAACACTTTAGTACCACAATAATTAAAACAAAGATTTAATCAGTTATGGATTAGAAAATATGATACATACAAAAATAACACTTTTAGCAAATCATATGAAAAAAAATAATTCCATTTATTAAAAAGTGACACTTTAGTACTCGAAATAACAACTAACATAGCACTTACTTCATGCAGTGTAGAATATAATCATTGGGCATTAAGTTAATACTTGAAAGTATAGACCAAAATAGCAGTTGTAGTCAACTTAGTGCAAAAACTAAATTTAATCATTAAAAACCACACTTTAGTCCTCAAAATAAAAACTAAAATACTGTATATAGTTTATGAAACGGAAGTTAATCTATTGGGGGCAAGCGGTTTCTGTCAACGCGATGGGAAAAGAAAATTTATTAAACAGAAACACACACTTTAGTCCTACAAACATTAATGTAACACTTTAGTCCTACAAACATTAATGTAACACTTTAGTTGCCGGATCAAAAAAAGTTTAATCAGTTGGGGATTAAACACGATAATAAACACAAAAATTATTCTTTTAGTTAATAAAGTGTGAAAAGTAAACCTATCATTAAAAAGTTACACTTTAGTACTCGAAATAACAATTAAAATAGCACTTAGTTCATGCAGTGTAAAATGTAATCTTTGGGAATTAAATAATCCTCGAAAGTATAAACCGTAGTAGTTTTAGCCCGCTTAGTGCAAAAACTAAATTTAATCATTAAAAACCACACTTTAGTC